CATTGATATCATTTTGAAATTTTCAAAAAATGGATTCATTATTTAGTGTTTCAATATCGGACAACTGAACACAATTGAACAAATCTCATGAATAGTTTAGCTGAAGGAGATTTATAGAGATCAATTTAATTTATAGTGTATATTGATGGATTGTAAAAATGATCTTACATAGAGTACCATTGAAAACCAGAAACGACTGGAGAGCTTATTCGTTCTAGTATTGGACTCCCTGGCAGTTTGAACTTATGGTTGTCCAGGAATCAAACAGGATATTATACCACCTCTTATTGGATTGCGTGATTTTGATCAATCCCTGAAAACATTTTGATGGCAACATGATTTTCTTTCACTTTTCATATACATAAATTATTAGTTTTCTAAATGAACTATTTTACATTCGATAAGCTGTCAAGTCAGTTGACCACACAGAATTTATCAAACATTCCCAATTCCATCATTGGAACATTGCGAAGACAATCAAGTATTTAGTACTATCAGTTAGCTAGTTAGCTGACTTAGAACTCATGTGATCAAGTACAACATACAACGAACAAAATACAATACGATTCCGCAACACAAGATAAGCAATAAATCACGAAATGTAGATAGTTTGATTATTTTAGTACAATGTTTAAGTGAGAAATGATTGATGATTATAATTAGTGTTGACTTGTGAATGGGAATGAATGCCATGGCAACAGTTGACGAGTAGAATGGGAACGTACAGTTGGAACGAAATAATCGAAATATCATGAAATGAATGTGATTTGATAAATATAGATTAATAAATATGTATGCTGACTCAGTGTCATAAATCTTTGAAATTATCCTATTGCCGTTTATTTGGCCTTTTCTTGAGAGATGGAAATGGTATTTCAGTCAATGAGGCTGAGTAATAAGCCTGACAATTTAATTCTGTATCAATAAACAGTATAATTTCTAACATATATGATAAGCCTGATGCCTAGTTTGGATCTGTCTCACGTCATATGATAAGTAGTAAGTACGTAGTTTGAAACATACGACAAATTTGACATGGTAATATTTTATTGTCAAACCCTTACATGTCACTGTAATGGTGAATTGTTTTGTTATGATACTCGAATGTAAAGTAAGTAGGGCCCGAATAAAGGCTTGAGACAAGTGTGTGCAATCCTACACATCTAAATAAAAAAAACATAGTAACCATATCAGGTTGTGAAAATTCGCTTCTGGTTGGTAAAACTGGTTGCTTTGTCTTGATTATACTATTATAGTGTTAGATGACTTTTAAGAATAATTCAGACCCCGTCAAATTTAAATTCCGAAGCACCAGAGGCAAGTAGGGATGCATAGAAGTCTCGCAAGCTAGACTAAAGGCTCCTAGTTTTAATAACACCCAACAATTTTCACAATACGCACACTAATAATGTCATGATTACTTAAGAGCTAAATTCTAAAAATTTCTAGTTGGGAGTTGTACCTTATATGGTCATAATCTAATAGACTGAGACAAGAAGAGATGAGGAGACACCATTTCATTAGTATTTGCTGAAAGCAAACAATTTTACTGTTTTATTCTGACTCAATGATCTAAATGTATCCTGTTCACATTTGAAAAAACCAGGATAAATTTGGTTCATGATTACTTGTGTGTGTAGTAGTAGTAGTAGTGACATGACACTAGGAAGAAAATAGTTGTTCAGTGCTTTCTTGTATCTTTAATATTTTAGAAAATCGATGCAAACTTATCAAAAACATTACCCTTCATAATGTGTTTCTTTTTTTCGCACGAACTCACGCACGCATAATGTTTCAGTAAGTTATGGAGAATTTACCGAACAAAATCATTCAGTAGAAAAGAATAAAAAGGAATATTTAAATAGTAAACCGAATACATTTAACGCGTTTAACCTGTGTTAAAAAATGTGATATTTTTCACGATAAAAATTACTTGGTTTTTCATAAATTCTGAGAAGTTTTATCCGAATGCTATCAGGAAAGGTTAGATGCAATCGGTAGAAAGCCTTATGTGGAGGCTTCATATTAGTTGCCATTTGTCAGAAATGTGTACCTGCACTTTTGATGAAACCGACCCCTTATGTGGGATCTGAACACACATTTTAGTCATGCATTCAGAGATAATACCAATTAAACTATACAAGTTACAGCTGACCTACTTTAGAACTGAGACATTCACACTGATTACAGAATAATAAGCAACATCCTGTTTGTTCATTCCTTAATCCTGATAGACTAATAAGTCGTCTTGGAAATCACCTCCATTTATCTAAGTTCAATACAAAGTGCTCATGATATTCAGCCACTTAAATTAGTGACCCCATTGTAACTATTCAAATGTAAGACTGATCATTACATAGAGATGAATCAGTGTTCTCGCCATTTGATATATGTCAAAAATTTTTTCGAATAGATGAGTCGATAATCATGTAATATTTTATTTTTTAAGAGTTATTCCATCCTTACTCTAAAGAATGAACATCCAAATGGGAAAGTTAAATTCAATATCTCAACAACCTGATAATACATTTGAATCTATATATCGGTTGGAAATTTTGTATTTGCTAAGATCGTAATTTAAAGAAAGAAACTGTGAACATCACCGGATAGAAAGGTTTCTACAACTTGACTTTTATTCCACTACTAATGTTAGTTTTATCCCCAGTAAATGTTGTATGTGTATGTTTCGTTTCTAAATATGCAGATAAAAACTAAAGCAAGATGTTTTCAATAAAAGATATACTCTTGTACAGTTATAAACCTAACAATTACTAATTGTCAGTAAAATATCAGAGTTAATTAGGAATATTATTGGGAACAATTTTCAGAATAAATTACTAGCTGGGAGACCATTGAAAAAGATCACAGAATGCTGGTTAATTGTCATCCTACTTTAAGACTCCAGAAATTTACGTTCACAAATAGGTCCAAGGACGAACCCAACAATTCTAGTGACATTGGATCAATTAGATACCCACCAAATGGTAAGCGTACGTGACTGAAAAAGAGACGACTTTCATTTCTAAAGGACAAAACATACAACAGGGCTGGCTCAATTTTCCAAGGCATATAATAATATATATATATATATATATATATATATATATATATATATATATATATATATATATCGATTTGGTTAGAATAATGAACTTTCTTTTTCACTCGAGTAGCCGATCGGGCTCGTGTATGGCCAGACTGCGTGTCAGTATCAAGTATCGAATAATGCGCATCACGTTTGTCCAAGTATAGTCATTAAAGGTAAGCAGAAAAGGGAAAATTGAACCGGCTTTTTTGAATTCACAATTTTATGATTGTTTTATCGAGAATGTGAACCTCTATTCCATACCAGGATCAAAGTCCATTTCTATTCAATCGTGATGTGTGAATTAAATCTAGAATGTGACAGAATTGAACCTGAGCAAAACATAACGTTCAAGATAATTTCGAAACCTTCTCCTCTATACGTAATAATCTATTATTTCTTTTAACTGACCTAATTGATTGTTGTTATTTAAAGTTTATTTATTTATACCAAGAACTTAATGTTCAGTCAAAACTTCAATAACTTCAAGTAATTAATTAATCTACTGAAGTTCCCAACTGAAAGTCAACATCTATCAGATTAACCATTAATGCAATATTAACTCGGAGAATACATGTTCATCATATTGACAGATATCCAAACTAAATTAATTTCATCAAATAAGTTAAAACAACTGTGTTATTAGACTAAGTAGGTTAATGAGAATTTATGTGTATTTCAATGGCTAAGCGCCCACTATAAAACATGGAGATCTTTGCATTATGTCCCTTGGTGATGTTTTGCGTGAGTACTGTTGAGAGGTACCACTCTAGATCAAAACGATTGTTCAATACTCACTTGTTTTCAATGGGACACAGATTGATATCAATTTGTGCTGAATATTGCCTGAAAATGTTACCATTATTTTGATAAACGAAATGTATAGGCTAGTATCCATGTATTTAAATAGGGTGATAGGATACGTGTTCGTGAGTTTTTGATGCATCTGCCTCTCAGTTTTCAATACGATTGCGATATACACCATTTTTGCGCTCATTCAGTGAATGAATGCATAATTTTCACCGAGGATTTCATTTCAAGCTATAACTTTCACTCGCTCTTGTGTTTTTTTTTCAGCCGGCAAGTTGAGATGTGCCACAATACCATGTTCATAGAAGACCTATGTAGATAGTTTCAGATGACTGAAATGAAGTCCCGAGTGGAAATTGCATTCTTATATGCAGCACTGAAATACTAAATGAACGGCAAATTTTTACAAAATGCCAGATATAGCAGTCTTAGTAAATATTAAAAAAGGGTGGTTATCATTACCATTTAGTAAGGAAATTCATGAAGAACGTTTTATAATCATGGACAAAAGTTGAAAAGATTTAATCATTAAACTGACCCTAAATCATAAGACTTAATAGATTAAAGGTCAAAAACACAACTACAGAGTCGAACGAACATATCTCTTTTGCATTTCAGGAAACTTAGCAATATGTAATATAAAATTAGAATTGTGTGCATTTCCTTTCTCACAACACTCATAGTTTCCTCATCTAGATTTCTATATTTTCTTTTAAGTTCCACTTAAAGATATGTTCTACCGTTTAACCTTTCTATCTTCAAATCACATGTAATCTTATCCCTAATTAATTATTACAACTGAATATATTACGTTAGAATCCATTGAATTCATTCATTTGTTCTATTCTTATTATTACCATATAATCACCTTTAGTTCATTTCTATTCTTATTTATAATGACCTTCACTTACCTGCTCGAAAAACCACACTCTAAATTTTTGTTGTGTAATTATTACTTCCACAAGTCATGTTATTTCTAATCAGTTTGGTGATTCATTTCCTTCTTTATATTTATGGTCTGTTTTACCCATTTTTATGACCTATACCTCATGAATCTTATCATTATCAATTAACAATTAAAAAGAAAATTTATTCTTCCACATACCTTGCATGCTTCACAGACATATGCATTACAATGAAAACCGGCAGCTACATCACCACATATATCACATGGCTTTCTGTCTTTCATATTTAATCCACTTAGTATTCCTTTATTGTTTGATATCGATGTTATCCCCATGACAGTTGCTTTCGTTGTATCTATAAATGATAAGTTTGTTGGAGTGTCAATTACATTATGATTATCATTCAATGTCTTAAGACTTGACTGATCACTGACATTGAATAATTTTACATTATTTACTGATTTTTGTACATTACGATTATTTAAATTTTTATAAATACATTTATTCTTCGTACCGTGTGATTGTGTGGTCAATGAGGAAAATGATGAAGATATGGACGATGATGGTGATGACGCGATGAATGATTGAGTAGTAGTTATTGGTAAGTTGAAGTTCATATAATCATTTCTCGTAGTAATATTGTTCAATGATAAATTATTAGTATCACGTTGAAACGTATTCTCAATTTTTTCAACTGGAAAACAAGTGCTGTTTAAGTGATACGCTGGAACCTGATTGGTCATTGTCGATAATGTCTCTGTTCCAGATATTATTGGTACTTCCGATAATTGTAATGATGACGATGAGTTATTTGTAGTTCGATTTGACATGAGATTTGTCAATTGATTTAAAGAATGATGATTATGGGTCATCCGAAAATTACAATGATGATGATGATGACAATAATTTTGCGATTGAATACTTTTTGCAAATTGAGTCTGCTCTTGATGATGTTGTTGGTGAGGATGATGATGGTTTAGACATGAATGATGTTGAATTGATACATCCGAACTTGGATTAGATTCCAGTACGTTTTGCTCGGATTGCAAAGGAAAATCTTTATTTGATGTAAGAAACATCAATGAATTAGAAGGTAATGACTGTGACAGTGAATCTGTTTGATTCCATGATAACATGGGACTATCGTGATAAAATGGTACGGGATCCGAATGACACAGTTCCTCTCGTTGTTGATGGTGATGATGATGATCAAAACGATGCGAATTATGTTGATAAGTTTTAAGATGTTGTGGTTGTGCAATTTGTGATAGTTGTTGTTGTTGCTGATGTTGATGACCGTGATGATCTGGGCGGTGGTGATGATGGAGGATTACTGTCGGAGATGTCAAAGATGATGATAAAGAATTACATAAAGATTGATTCTCATTCTCAAGACGACTGTACATCATATTGTTTACCATAAACAAATATTGTTCCAAAGTGGGAAATAATGAAATATTGACGAGAGATATTTAACTGTGCAGAAGTGAAATACTGAAGTATGTTAATGTATTTTATGTCTAAATACACATTTACTTAATATCTATTTAAAATTGAAAAAAAAAATAAAGAACGATTATCACCCAATAAAACATTTCTAACTACAGAAAAAAACAAATAGTACGTCACATTCTTTAATATCACACTGGTAGTTATACTGATTTAGTAAAGCAACAACCTAAGACCAACCATCTCAATGGGATTGGGAACATAATTGGTAGTTCGAATATTGACAGTATACCATATTGGGCTGAACATATATCTTAAACAATTTAAGACGTTACAAAGTCATATATATGTACACAGGGTTGTCATCTTACCTAGTGTAGCATCAGCTTGGTGTCCAATTTTGTCTCTCAGTTACTGAATTAAAATTAGAGATTACCTGATTTAGAATTCAGACTCTCTCGTTTTAACCCAGTGAACTGACTTACCAAAGTTTGATTTAACTGATCATTATCATTCCAATCTATAAGTTTGAATTTTTTTTGTGAAGTTTACTGAATTTCAAATGCTGAGAAAACATCTTACATACCATGTAGATCACATTATTCATGCCCATTTTTTTATTAATTCAGCCCTCAGAGGAGTTAGTAAATTGGAAATTAAAGTTAATTTTAACAAATTTTTAAGTCAGATAGCTCATTATCATCTAATACTGTATTTACTTTTATAAATGATCGATTCAACTACACCTCAGTCATCTTAGTGTTTTGTAGCATCAGTTGTTTCGTTACAGAAAGAAAATTTATTTACGTTTCTGCTACTTAGTTCGTATTAATGTGTATAGTGATCTCAGATATTCAAAGTGAACTCAACTACATGATCTAACTTACTTGAAGATCATTATGGTAAAGAACTCACACCACTTAACGAAACACTGAAAATCAGTAAACACTGGAAAGCTAATTCATTTCGCTTTACACACCACTACAAAGCATATTTAGATCTAAAAAATACTACAATATGCTGAGTTAGACTTCAATTATCTATGTTTTTAATTGAGCAACTTGACAAAGTTCATATCAAATGTCATGGATCATAGGTTATTGGCATACTCTCGCGAGGTGACTTCTTGTCTCTTGATGATAATAATTGGTGAAAACATATTTATTATTAGTTAACATAGTATCTTCTAGTTTTAAATGTCACTCGATTTGAGGGATTAAAATGGTAGAAGGGACTTTATTGTTTAGAAAAATGGGAGGAAACTCTACTGAAAGCTTTCATGTCATTAATTTTATTATAGTCTTTATTGTAAACAGAGGCTTGGTGGGAAATTATCGCCTTAGTCTGCGATACCTCAATAAAATCCAACCAACTGGTCTCTACTGCAAAAGTGTAAGCGGAAATTCGTAAAGAAACGTATTTCCATATTATGAATCCACTTAGTATTCTGAAGGCTGTGTGCCCCCCCCCAACGAGATCTGAAGAAGTTATGGATATAATATACATAAATTTCACTTCAAGGATAGAGCAGTGTTTAAACATTCAATAGTTACAATAGTTGAAATCATGAGTCAATTGAAGCTAGACCACCATGGAAAACCTGGAAGCATTGAACGGCCGTTTCGTCCTATTGTGGGACTCAGCAGTGCGTATCCACGACCTCGCCTCGAGAAAGTCGAACCATGATGGAAAAATGGTGTGTCTTAAAAATATTGAACCGGAATGAATTTTGAAATATCTAACGAAAATGCGTATCATAATAAGTTATTTAGCGTGAAAGCTAACGTTTTTTTTATGGAACTTATTGAAACTGCTTTTTTATTCTTATTATAAACTTAATTTATAAATGATCATATTCTGGATGATGAATTTAAGATTTGTGTTTCATTTTATCTGGAACTCCTCACCTGGATATGCTGTTGATATTCATGTTGGAACATAAATCTAATATTTACATCCTTTCTAATGCTGAAGTTTGGTTGAAAATATGAACAAAAAAAATCGGTCAATTTCTAAGCATCTGTTCCAAGAGATTGTAAAACAATAAGGGCTATTCTAAACCAGTCATGAATATTATCGACGGGATAATTCAAACATCTACAAATAATGATTAATGAATATATACTTGTAAACTCTTTAAGTGATGTAAAACATTACTTAGACTTTGTATTGCATTATTTTATTTAAATTATTAACATTGTCAATGAATTGTGAATACCTCAATAAATATATTTCTCTAGATTAATCGAAAAAAATTTTCGCGAAAAGTTCCCATCGATATCAGATAAATTAGTTTCCTAAAAGAAAGCTGATATAAATTATTGAATCCTAACAAAGTGGTCTAAGTGTTAAGCGCATATTATGAAATCTGAAAGTTCTGAGTTCAATGCTCAATATATTTATGGATTTCAATTTCTGTGGATTTTCACACTGGGACGAAACGGATGTTCAATGCTTTCTGGTTATTACCAGTTGCTTAGTTACATCCACTTTTTTATATGAATTATGAGAATAAACTATCTTAGTTGAGTATTTTGTATCGAAGTGCCAGTCAGAAGGACAGTATATTTCATCATTTTTTAAAATATTCAGTCGAGATATAAAAGTCTGGTTCCCATAAACAAAATGTCAGTTCAATTAGCTTATTCAAACATTCAATGTATTATATCAGTTCATCAATTGAATAATCATAATAACCAAATATTATCAGTTGGATAAATTTTGTAATCATAACCTAACAAATAAGACTTTTACCCAATTATTTATAATTTTGTGATTCATGAGAAATATGGAATTACTGTATGGATGTTATAAAACTAACCATTTTAATAAACAATAAGACAAGATTCATAATATTGTGTAGAAAGTTCAACATATTCCCTTTAAAAATGTGTCTTTAACATTTGTCTAATTAAGAAATAATTTCAGTCACATTATCATGGTTGAATGTTTTGTACTGAAATAATAAGTTCAATTTCACAGATTTAGTTAAGTCAATCAATAATTCCAACTTTATTAGATGGTTGAAACTAGTAGGAAACGAATGCTTTTTAATCTAGGTTTCATTGTCAGTTGACACTTGTCAGTGAGATTTACCTTTAACTTTAAGACGATTGATACTCTCCTATTGTAATCAAACCCTAGATTATTCAGCTTTATCGTCTCAGATGTTAACACTGAATGATTTAAGCAAAGATTAATATCCTGTAGGTCTGAAATATTTACAAATGATTAATCCATCAAGATTCTAGGCATATCTTACTGATAATTATCAACTACCAACAAAAAAAAAACAACGTAATTCTATGGTTTTCTATCAGAATTTATTTAAGATAATTCCCTAAAATGAAATAATCATTGGTCATGAAATGGTGAACTAATTAGCTAAACGTGTAAAATATAAAGTGAACCATATTGTTAATTAATCAGATAAAAATTTTGTCTCAATTTTTCTTACATAAATTACAAATATGACTAAATTAAAGTCTCTCTAAGTGTAATTGTACAACTATAATTCACTTTGATAATTACAAATTCACATAAAATACACTACGTAATATATTCAAAGCATGAAAAAAAAGAAAAGAATAAAACTTACTTTTTGGAAGTAAATGATCAGAATGATTGTGTTTAATAAAAGTTTGAATCAATAATTATCCTTTGTATAATTGATAGCCAGTTTGTTTCAACGTTGTTGTTGGTGTTGTTGTTGTTGTTGTTGTGTATTCAAAAGTTTATTCGAGAAAAAAAAATGTTCTTGTCCATTCACAAATAAGAATGATTCATTCTTATTGTTTCTGAAAGGAATGTAACTATTTGAATCTTTAAAATTACTTTTTTTTTATTATGAAAATTGAATCAGTTTTACACAAAGACGATTTTTTTTTCATGTAAGATATACGTAACAAATAAGGTATTATGATTGACTAACGGAAATGCTGTATGTATGTTCATTCTCGATTTGTACTCATTATGTGTTGTGTGTGTATACACACAGTTGTATGAGTCAGTTATGTTTTGTCTTAAATGTTGTTATTGTTGTTAATACTAACACTACCATTACTACTAATAATAATACTACTATTAATATTATTATTACTATTGATATCATTGTCAGTAAATTCGAAAATTATTAAATAATGTCAAATTATCTATAGTCTGCCTATTTGTGTGTTACCCTGTTGATTTTTTTCTTCTATAGATTTGAACAAGTTAAAATATATTGTAATTGGTTAGTGAATAATATAGATGCGACATAAATTTATTTACAATGTAACCACCTTAAAAACCCCTGTGTGTATATTCATTGAATGATACATTAATTCGCTATCTTTTTTCATTCGTTCATTGATTTATTAAACTGACCAATTCTCATTCTCTATTTAACTTACCCTATCATATATTGTCTGGTACTTTTATATTGTCTATACGAAATGATAAATATGTTATGATGTAACAAAGAACTTCTCTATCCATGTGATTTCATGAAAGAGGATGAACTTCAATGGGTGGGTGATAAGACAATATGATGTGGATATGATTCGAAATATTATTTTATAATTTTGATTTCTAATTCGTTAATTAACTAAATTGATAAAAGTAGTCAAAAATTACGGTCTGATTTTTATCAACATTAAGATAATATAATTAGATATAACAAATAGTGAAAATTCATTGTGTACACATTTATGCACACTAACATATAATGACAGTGTAACATATCAACAAAAGTGAGTGATTTCGAAATGATCCATTTTTTTTAAACATAAATAAATATTGTGATTGGTTGGAATAACTGCTTTAAGGTCACTTGGTCTTTATTTTCAAGGTTATAACGTGATTCAAAGAGTTCGACCAAAACAAAATTATTCTTATTTGTAGGAATAGGTTCATTGTAACGTTGCATCTTTGTTAATTAAATGACCATTCCTTTGACAGATAGAACCCTTACAGATCT